CAAGAACTAGCAGAAAGAATCAACAACTGGGATCTCATCTTATTAAAAAGCTTCTACACTTCAAAAGAAACCATCAAAAGAGTGAGGAAGGCCGCCCTGAGATCTCTCCCACTGGCGTGCTTGGGCCCATTCGGTGGGACTGGGTAACTGCACCCTCCCCTGCCTGCTCTGCCACCAGATCCAGCAAGGAAGGTAGCTGCACCAACATCATATTAAATGGAAAAAAATGGAAAACTTTCATGTTAAAATCAGGAACAAGACAAGGATGCCCACTATCACCACTCCTCTTTGATATAGTTCGGGAAACATTAGCCAAAGCAATTAGACAAGAGAAACAAATTAAAACAATAAAGATAGGAAAGGAAGAAGTTAAACTGTCATTATTTGCTGACGATATGATACTCTACATTGAAGACCCAAAAGACTTTTAGACTTAATTGACTGATTCAGCAGAGTACCTGGATACAAGGTCAACATCCCAAAATCAATAGCCTTCTTGTACGCAAATAGCAGAGTCACTGAGAGAGAAATTAGGGAAACAATTCCTTTCACAATAGCATCCAAAAAAAATGAAGTATCTAGGAATCAATCTAACAAAAGAAGCAAAAGACCTCTACACTGAAAACTACAGCACTCTGAAAAAAGAAATCAAAGAGGATATAAGAAAATGGAAGATATCCCCTGCTTCTGGGTAGGAAGAATCAACATAGTGAAAATGGCCATACTACCAAAACTGCTATACAGATTCAATGCAATGCCAATTGAAATTCCAACACGATACTTCACAGTACTAGAAAAAAAAATCCAAAAATTAATTTGGAACCACAAGAGACCTAGAATAGCAAAAGCCATTCTAGGCAACAGAGACATGGTAGCACATATAACAATTCCCAATTTGAAACTATACTACAAAGCCACTGTGATAAAAACAGCATGGTACTCACAAAGAAACATATCTGAGGATCAGTGGAACAGACTGCAAGACACAAAAAAATTCCAGATGTACTCAGCTACCTCATCTTTGACAAAGGAGCTGACCATCCTCAGTGGAGGAAAGATAGCCTCTTTAATAAATGGTGTTGGAAAAAGTGGATCTCAACCTGCCAAAGATTAAAACTGGACTCTTATCTTTCACCATGCACTAAATTAAAATCCAAGTGGATGAAAGATCTAAATATTAAAACAGAAACATTAAACTTGCTGGAAGATAAATTAGGCAGAACTCTTGAAGACATTGGCATAGGAAAAGATTTTATGAACAAATCCTCAGTAGCACAGGAACTAACAGGAAGAATCAATAACTGGGAACTCATTTTATTAAAAAGCTTCTGAGCTGGGCGTGGTGGTGCACGCCTGTAATCCCAGCACTCGGGAGGCTGAGGCAGGAGGATCGCTGTGAGTTCGAGACCAACCTAGGTTACACAGTGAGTTCCAGGTCAGTCTCAACTACATAGTGAGACCCTGTCTCAAAAAAACAAAACAAAAAAAAAGCATCTGCACTGCACAAGAAACCATCAACAAAACTAAGAGACAACCTACAATGTGGGAACAAATTTTTACCAGCTGCTCCTCAGACAAAGGACTATCATCTAGAATATATAAAGAACTCAAAACAATCAGCCTCCCGCAAATATAAAGGCCCAATTCAGAAATGAGCATCTGAAATGAACAGACATTTCTCAGACAAAGAAGTAAAAGCAGCAAGTAAATATATGAAAAAATGTTCCACATCACTGGTCATTGGAGAGATGCAGATGAAAAAACACTGAGATTCCACCTCATCCCACAAAGAATGGCTGCTATCAAGAAATCAATAACAAATGTTGTTTGTGGGAAGAAAGGAACCCTTCTCCGCTGATGGTGGGAGTGCAGACTGGTGCAACCACTATGGAAATCAATATGGAGATACCTCAAAGAACTGGGATTAGAGGCCCCATTGGACCCAGCCATCCCTCTGCTGGGTATCTTTCCAAAAGAATTAGAAGAACCATACGACAGTGATATATGTGCACCCATGTTTATAGCAGCACAGTTTGTAATAGCTAAAATTTTAAAAGAGCCCATTTGCCCATCAGTTGGAGACTGGATAAAGAAGATGTGGTTTTTCTATAAAATGGAATTCTACTCAATCATAAAAAATGAGAATTCAGAGTCATTCATAAGAAAACGGATGCATATTGAGGATAAACTCAAGTGAAATAAATAAGTCACACATGTGTAAATAACGAGTAGTTTCTCTCGTGTGAAAAACTATAATCATAAATAAGATCCTAATGATATAATTGACAATGTGAAATAGGAAGAAATGGGCTAAAGGTGTAGGAGAAGTAGGAAGGGTAGGGGAAAGGAAATGAAGGAAAAGAAAAAATATGATAAAATGAAAAAATGGAAATAAAGTATTTATAAATAGGGAAGGAAGGAGGGGGTGAAGGGAGGGCAGGGGTAAGGGGGAAAAATGAGAACCAAGGGCTGCCATGTAAAGGTATAAGATCCCAATGATGACTGTAACTATACTGTATACCTAAAATGTACCAATAAACTCAATGAGGAAAAAAAAAAAAAGAGTTAAGTGAGCCACCATGACCAGCTCTGTAGTTTTTTTAAAGATATGCATGCCTTTATGATATATATTACAATATTCTCAGAAACTTACGTACAGACTCTTTAGTAACTTTTCTTTTCTTTTTTTCTTTTCCCCTTTGATTCTGGGGATCAAACTCACAACCTTGTGCTTCTGAGGCAGATGCAGTGCCACTGAGCTACATCCCTGGCCCTCTTTAGTAACTTTTCAATCACCATTTGTTACAAATCTGTTGCAGACAACAGAAGCTGGCGATATGAAGTTTTCCTTACAAGTAGATGTAAGCTGAGCATGGTGGTGCACACCTGTAATCTCAGGTCTTGGGAGGCTGACACAGGAAGATCATTGCTGACTCAAGGTCAGCCTGGGCCATCTATTGAGTTCAAAGCCAGCCTGGATTGTATAAAGAGACCCTGTCTTACAAAGCAACAATAAAAAATAAATATCAAATAGATTCCCGGGTGTGAATAATATGCAATACATAAGATCCTAATAAGATTACTGACATTTAGAAATGGGGAGAAAGGAGTTAAAGGTGTAGGGAAGGTGGGATGGGTAGGGGAAGGGTAATAAGGGAAAAGAAAAAAATGTGAGATAATGAAAAGATGAAAATAAAGTGTTTGTAGATGGGAAGGGGAGGAGGGGGTGAAGGGAGGGCAGGGGTAAGGGGAAAAATGAGAACCAAGACCTGTCATGTAGAGGTACAAGATCCCAACAATGAATGTAACTGTACTGTATCCCTAAAATGTACCAATAAACTCAATTAAAGCTAAAAAAAAAGCAGATATAATACTTTCTTATAAACAAAAATAAATGAATCATTATCCATCTGAAATTTTAGAACTAACAATGTATTACAGGAAGTAGTATTGGTTTATAGCCATGAACCAAATTCTTTTTTATTTTTCCTCTAAAATACATGGACCAATCTAGCTCAGTGTTTCTGCCATCTGCCTCACAAGCTCAAGGTCCTGAGTTCAATCCCCAGTACCAAAAATTAAATAAATAAAGACAAGGAAGATTTTTTTAAAACTTAAAAATAAAAATAAAATATATGGACATAAAAGAATGCTACTATTGAATACATCACACCCACAAAAAGGGTGGGAATATATACAAAAGAAATAAGAATTTGGTTGTATTTTGTAGATAGTATTTTCCCACAACTGTCTTATTATATATATTAAACTGCCTCTTGTCTTGTTTTATAATGGACACACATAAATAGGAAAGGGAAATAAACACAATCAAGATGCAATATGTACATACCACTTTCCCACATTTATTATGTATCTCATACATATATTAATATCATATATACTAATAAGAAAGGGAAAAAATAGAGCTAGCTTGTTCTTTGTCATGACCACAAAGCATGATTTTTCAAAAATGTATTTAATATTAGTGGTATTTGGATTTTTCCTAATCTTTTTTATTATCATTAGGGCTATAAGAAACATTCCTATACGTTTAATTTGATTTAATTTCACAAACATATCCTTGGGTAAAATTCCTAGATATGAAACTGCTAGACAAAAAGTAGGTACATTTTCAATTTTAGTAGATAGGATGAAATCCCCCTCCAAAAGAACTTTAGCAGTATATGAAAGTGCCTACTTTCAACACCCTTCCTTAAATAATATTATCAATTATTTTTCTTTTTTCCAAACTGATAAAGGGGAAAAAAGTATTAGTAGAAGTACCAGTATTACTACCACTAGCATTAAAATCACTACCAACACATGCTAATACATAGAAATTTTTTCTGAATGACCACTTACAATGCTAACAGGGTTACCTTTGAGTACTCTAAATAAAGAGAACGTTTTGTCACTTTAGATTTTTCTGTGTTGTTGTAAACATCCAATTGTGTTTGTTACTTGATTTTATTTTAATCTCAACAGTTATTATGTGGATGGAGAACAATGGACCATTTTGTCATATTTTCTTTAAATTAAAATAAAATAAAAAATGTCATATTTTGTTTAAATTTAAAAAAGAATATATAAAACATAAAAAGGAATCATCTGGCATTTGGTTTTTTAACTACTGTTTTGAAAACAGACTGTTATAGCACCAGATTATTAAATTCTAGGTTAATAACAGCATGTGCATATATTCATATGAATAGACTCAGTTGAGAAGGCCAGGACTACAATGATCTTATCTTTAAAAAAGACATCCTAGCTGGGTGTGGTGGCCCACCTGTAATCCCAAAGCCCAGGAGGCTGAGGCAGGAGGATCACTGTGAGCTTGAGACCAGCCTGGGCTACATAGTGAGTTCCAGGTCAGTCTCAACTACATAGTGAGACCCTGTCTCCAAAAAAACAAACGAACAAACAAATAAAAAAGACATAATAAAGTTCTACTAATTTAATGTAGCTGTAAAAAAGCAAATGAAAAATTTTTGAACTCTTACCTCCAGAATAGCTCGAATCATACTGGCAGTTACTTCTTCTCCATCTTGTCTTTGCAGACAGCTGCGAACAGGTTTCAAGGATCCCTGAAGTAGAGCTACACCTTTTGATTTCTCAGAGTTCTTACAAATTAAGATACTCTCACCTATAACCAAAAACCACACATTTCCATAAGAACCTCCTAAGGAGAATTTAAGTTGTTCTTACTTCTTTTTTTTTCTTTTATTGAGTTTATTGGTACATTTTAGGTATACAGTACAATTACATTCATTATTGGGATCTTGTACCTTTACATGACAGGTCTTGTTCTCATTTTTTTCCCCTTGTCCGTGCCCTCCCTTCACTCTCTCCTCTGCTCCCCATTTACAAACACTTTATTTCCATTTTTTCATTTTGTCATATTTTTCTTTTCCCTTATTACTCTTCCCCTACCCTTTCCATTTTCCCTACAACTTTAGCTCTTTTCTTCCTATTTCACATGGTCAAGTATCTCATTAAGATCTTATGTACGATTATAGCTTTTCACACCAGAGAAACTATTTGGTATTTACACATGTGTGACTTATTTATTTCACTTAGGAGTATATCCTCAATATGTATCTATTTTCCTATGAATGAATCTAATTTCTCATTCTTTATGGCTGAGTAGTTTCTTTAAAAAGAGCTAACATATGATAGTTATGATATGGTGCTTAAAGCCACAGAACTGTGGCTAGCGCTTGTTTTTTGAACTTCGGATAGAAAGCAATTAAGATATGCTACCCCAAATACACTACTTTGTATAAATACTATTTTGAGCTAACAATTAGAAAGCAATAGAGAGAGCTCTCTGTCCTCTCCCCCATCTGCCTAACTAAAAGCGAGACATAAATTTTCTCCTTGTACACGTTTGTCCTCTCCTCACCCATACTAGAACCACCCTTATCACAAGAGACAAAAAGGTGGTTCTCAGATGGGGTCAATACAAATAAATCTTACTAAAATCAACTTTCTCTTCTATTAGTTTTCCCATTACTTCTCATGATTTACTAACCCTATTGAATCAAACACTTTTTCCTTTGTCGTGCCACTTCACCATAACTTACTGACATTTGTTAAAATATTATATGAGTCTAACAACTTTGAGTCTTCACTTTTTTAGGAAGACCTCTATACACATAAAAATTAAAACATTACTATAACATTTACAAGTCCTTTATCCCGTTCAACTATATCAATTTATTTAGCAGGCTCCAGCTGCAGAATGTAAGAAAGTAGAGGAATAGTTTCTCTTCTTCCCCTACAGAATTAACTATTATTATTATTATTTTTTTAAAGATACAGATGCACTTTATTTATTTATTTATTATTTATTTATTTATTTTTGGTACCGGGGATCGAACTCAGGTCCTTGAGCTTGTGAGGCAGGAAGCAGAACCACTGAGCTAAATCCCTGGCCCTAACTATTATTATTAAATGGCCACATAATTAATAGAGATGTACTTTGACAACTACAAAAATACAAAACAAATTACTAGTAACATGTATTGACAAAATAAATTTTAAAACTTACAGAAACCTAAAATAAAAACTCATGTGTTAACATTCACTATTATGGTTTAAATATGAAGTAGATGCTGAAAACTCTTAATCACTTAACCAGGATTTGATCCCCAATGCAGCAATGTTCAGAGGTGAAGCCTAGAGAAGGGAACTAATCTCACTGGATTAATCCCACCCTTTCACTGATGAGTTCATAATTGAGTGGATTATTAGCAAGAAGTGGGTCCCCGACTGCTGAAGTGTACATCTTGTCACCAGCCCCTTTCACCTATGGCTCTTTCCTTTTCCCTCTGCTTCCTGGCTGCCATAAGGTAAGGAGCTTTCCTCCAGCACATACTTCTGCCACAATATTTCTGCCGTGACACAGGCCTAAAATCAATGGAGCCAGCCAACCCCTGAATGCACGAACCAAAAGAAATCTCCCCCTGCTTTGTTTTTCTCAGGTCTTTGGTCCCAGTAATAAAAAGATGACCAACTCCACCCCTGCAGCAAAAGCTAGGCCCAGCTTCAGTTGCTGAGTTTGAAAATGTCGTGGAGTACTTGAGCCCTCAACCTACCACCTGCATCCAACCCAGATCGGGGTTCTGTCTGTCTTCCTTATCTACTGGTGGCATGAATGGGAGCACATCTCAGCTTAGACATTGCCACAGCCTGAGTCAACAGAGGGGCCTCAGGAATGAGGGATGGGAGGGAGACATCTTGAAAATCACAGGCCTTCAGGCTATGTGGAGAAAATCCAGAACTGCTAGACTCCAAAATTTGGATCCCACAACAAAACCACTCATTCATAACTACAGAGAGGCCAGGCATGGCACACCTTTAAAAACAGTATTTGAGAGGCTGAGCCAGGAGGATCACCGTGAGTGTGAGGCCAGCTGAGCTACATAGTGAGTTCATAGTCAGCTTGAACTACAAAGAAGACCCTCTCAAAACAAACAAAACCAGAAAATTCTTGAGAGGGACTTTCTTTTTTCCTTTCCTCCTCCTTCTTGATTGGTTTATTGGAGTTTGGGGGATTTTCTTTTGTCCTTTTCCTTGTTTCTTTTAAATTTCATTTTTTTCTCTTATTTTTCTTATCTTTCCATTTTTTTTCTTTCTTCATTTTTTTCTTACTTTTTTAACCATATTATTTCATTTTTTCCCTCACTTTTTTCTTCTTCTATTTCTTGCATGGCAGGAGATGATACCACCGAGCTAAATCCCAGTCCTTCGTTCATTTCTTATTTGTTTCTTCTATTAGCTTTATCTAATTCTCTAGCTACTTTTGCACTCCCTAAAATGATTCTTTGTCTCATTTCTCTCCTCATTCCATATAGTCGAAGTTTTCAAATCATCTTATATTCTCCAGTTCCCAATCCCCTAGACCTTCAATAATAAAACCATTAATCTCTATCAATCTGAAGATAGTTAACTATATAATTACCACTGAATCCTATTCTCAGTGGAGATATGGTGTTATGGAAGGAATCAGTAAGTGACACAGAGAGAGGCAGCAGAATGGAAGTAAAATAACAAATTTAATCATCGATGAGGGTTGACCCACACATAAGCAGTGCCTGGATCAATAAGGCACTGGGTTACAACTCCTCCTTTTATAGGGTTTTACAACCTTGACTTCATTTGGGTGGTTACATTTCATTCTCACAGTTCATATCGCTGATATACAAATCATGCTCACAAGACAGGGGAGTTTACCTTTAAGATTCACCTAGTTATCTATCCTAGCCCATAGAAAGGGGGGTCAGGGGAGCAAATGTTCCTTTTCATTTTTACACTTTTACGATCATGTGTCTCCAGTCTCTTCGGAGCTCAAGGTCTTGCTGTGCCCTGTTATCTCAGGGTAAGACCAAATGCCTCATTCAGCAGTTAGTGCCTTCAGTGCCTGTTAGTTCTGAGCTAAACAAAACAAACTGCTGTTAGAGACAGCAAAAGCTATTTTACATTGTAACACTTTATAGGTTTTTGCTATTCATAAAAGTTTTCCCTATCAATGGCTGTCTTGAATAATCAATGGGTCACAGAAGAAATCAAGGAAGAGATTAGGTAGTTCTCAGAATCAAATGACAATGCCAGTACAACATACTGGGACCTATGTAACACAATGAAAGTAATCCTAAGGGGGAAGTTTGTAGCTGGAAGTGATCACATCAGAGAAACAGAGTGAATCCAAATAAATAAACCTAAAGATCACCTCAAAGTCCTAGAAAGACAAGTACAATCTAAATCCAAAGCTAGGACAAGGAAAGAAATTATAAAGATTACAGCAGAAATTAATGAAATTGAGATTGAAAAAAATACAAAAATCGATTTGTCAGAAGTAGTTCTTTGAAAGAACAAAATTGATAAATTTCCTAGTCAATATTTAAAGTAAAGGCCCAAATAAATACAATTATAGGGATGGGGATTCAGCTCAGTGGTTCCAGTGCCTGCCTTGAAAGTGCAAGGACCTGAATTTGATCTCCAGTACCAAACAAAAAAGTTTCAGCACAACAAAGGGAACAAGCAACAGCGTAGAGAAACAACTCACAGAATGTGAAAAAAAAAATTGCTATTTTTGGACAAAGAACTAATATCTACAATACATAAAAATTCAAAGAAATTAGACACTCTCAATTTTAAAAACCCAATGAAAAAGAAAGGGCAAGTGAAATGAACAGACATTTCTCAGAAGTTCAAATAGATAATAAACATATGAAAATGCTCAACCTCTCTGGCCACTACAGAAATGCATAGCAAAACAATACTGAGATTCTATCTCAGTGGAAAGACTATCATCAAGAATCAAATAACCAAGCCAGGGGTGTAGCTCAGTGGCACCATGCCTGCCCAGCAAGCACAAGGTCCTGAGTTTAAAAATATATATATATAAAATAAGAACAAATGCTAGAGAGTCTGTGGGGATAGTGGAACCCTTCTACATTGTTAGTGGGAGTGTAATCTAGTACATTTGCTATGGAAATCAGTCTGAAGATTGCTCAAAAACTGAAAATTAGAAGTTAGACTTGACCCAAGTATTCACCTTCTTGGTATTTTCCTCAAAGAGTAAAAGATAAATTCATATTACACTGATACATGCATACTCATGTTCATAGCACCACAATTTCTAATAGTTAAATCTTGAAAGCAGCCTATACGCTCATATATAAATGAATGGATAAAGGAAATGTGATATTCTATACAAAGGTGTACTAGTATCCATAAGTATGGATAATGAGGCATTCATAGGAAAATGGATGTACCCTGAGACTACAATGTTAAATGAAATAAATAAAAAACACAAGCTTAAATATCATGTAACTTCTTTTATATGAGAAACTCAAAATACAAATAAAGAAAAATATTTTGCAAACAGGAAGGGGATGGAGGGGATGAAGAAAAAATCTGAAATATGTACATGTACCAACACCCCATGTGTAATATAATCATTATGTACTACAGACATGTACTAATATAAAATAAATTTTTCAAAAATGCCACTAGGGCACTTCCAGGAAGATGGTGGAAACAGCATGGGAAATAGCAACAAATAACTTCTCTAAGATATGGAATCCAAGCTGGGCATGGTGGCACATGCCTGTAATCCCAGCACTTGGAAGGCTGAGG